TATGGTCAAACGATTATGTATCGGCTAATAAATAATAAGCGATACTGACAGCTTTAAAATTTTATTTATTTTTTTATGAAGAATCATCATCGTTAACTACTACTGCTCGACAGCGATTAGGTGTACAGTGTTGTGCAGAGTTTATTTTAATTAAAAAAAAGTTGCGAGTGGCATTTCTTGGAGTCTGTATCTCTGTAGAGGAGTCCATTAGGACACTTTTTAGCCCCTAACGCAAAAGCAAAGTGTGCTATTATTTAATCATCTTGTATATTATGACATCGCAGCTTCCCAATGGTTAAACCGATTTTAAGAAAATAGAATAGAAAAGGATTTATTCAGTTTTGAGCTCCTTCAAACAATAATAACTACATTCACAAAAAATGAGTTTAATTTACAAAGCGGTTCACAAAGAACCAAAATTGTCTCTCCGAAGGTTCTTTTTAAAAATTATAACATTACTAGATGTTTTTACAATAATAGGTAGATTGTTGTACATTTCTAGACCTTTAAGAAACATTGACTTTTCTAAACCTTTATAATACGAGTATATAATAAAATATTTTTCTCATACTTATTTTGACTGTACTACTCACTTAAAAAACATGGGTTCTTCGTATATGGACATTTTCTTTTGATCTGTAGTAACCTTGCATTACATGTCTTTTTTTTAAACTATTCAATATAAGAAGGAGGAGCCTGATTATTTATTGATAGTTTTATATAAAATAATTAGATTTTCCCATTGAATGATTTGGTGTATGTTAAAAAAATTCAATGTCTAGCATATCCTATATAAGCGTATGCCTGCTACAATTTAACAAAATACGGATACATTTATTTAATAGTACAGGGTCCATCAGAAAGAACGCATGTTTTTTAAATGTAGTACAATCAAAATAAGAATGGGAAAAAATATTTTATCATATCAAAATACTCAGAAATACGTGCCATTTTTTTGAGTGAAACAAAATTTACGTGCTAAGAACTATGTCGGCCATACGGCGCCATTGAGCCGAAATGCAGTAATCAAGCCTCTCCCGAAATGAGCCTATTGCGCCGACCAGCATCCATGCAGGAATTTAGGTTACTTCTCTTTTATTTCTTCCTTCAAATCGACGAGCGACCGAGGCTTGCTTTGGTAAACTTTTGATTTCACTGGAGACCAATATCGACAATTTTGTTTAATGACGTGTAAATGAAAAGAGGCTTGATTCCTGAATATGGCCGACATAGTTTTTAGAACGTAAATTTAGTTTTACTCAAAAAAATGGAATGTATTTTGACTGTACTTGTCATTTAAAAAACATGCGTCGTTTCTGACGAACCCTGCATTTCTAACCTTTGCTTTCCCTCATTTGTGAGTCTAATCAAAAGTAACGCACAATAAGTAAAATGAGGAAAAAGCACCAGTCGCTTATATCTAAATTCTACAAAACTTTCCGATCTTCTTGCCCAATTTCCGACATGCATAGTCAACATTTTTGTTGGAAATTAATTGCTGACCTATTGTAATACCTAAATACTTAAAACTGTCTACAATATCAAGTACCTATCCCTCGATGTTCACAAATTTATATCTACTAATTTCTTGCAATCATTTTCTAACCTATGATCATACATTTCATTTTTTTCACATTTAATTTAACCTTATTTATTTTTAACGACAAAGTAAGTTTGTCCATACTACTATTCATTACATCTACAATTTCGCAAACAAATTTATAAAAGAATTGTTTAGGTTAGGACATTGGACATATCATTGACATACAGATTAAAGGGCAATGGGCCTAGTATGCTGCCTTGACGTGCACCATGATCAGATGATAGAAATTTTAATCGAGAATCGTGCCTGCCTTTATAGTTTTCAGCTATGTTTGGTGCAAAATCGGCTCAGCTGTTTAAAAGTTATGAGCTAGCAAAACGAAAATCACATGGTTTGATTTACCTAGCACATGTTTACATGAACAAATGTACTGATATACACTGTATATCAAAACATATGCGGTAAACATAAGGGAAGTTACAATTACCCCAGTGCAAGGAGTGTAATTTTCTTTCGATACATCATCCCGTTATCTTCAAAAGCTTCTTCCCAGGATTTACGGGAAAGATTGTCGCTGGGAGCAGAAGCAGATTGAGGCAAGCGTTTTTAGCCGTCTCGCCTGTTCCTTTTTGGCAGCTGCAACTGGAGAATTTTCCCAGGAACAGGTGTTCAAGATGGAAGTAATTGTCGCCTCCGCTGCCAGCTTTCAGACAAATTGATTTTTTGTTGGAGGTGACAGCGATTCATGGGAAAATGTGTCGATATTTTACAGTAGATCCACTTAGGCGTGTTATTACTTTCGAGGTCGGAAACTAATTCGAGCTATTTTTCTATAATGAAGTTTTGACTCGGGCGACACGTCCTCTGAACAAAAACAGCGTCAAGTAAGTTGACTCTGCTCTTTCTATGTAACGCTGTTATCAAGCACAAACAAGTTCGCAAAACTTTGTGAAACAATTCTGTATAATCGGACTTACCTATCTATTAACAATCATATATAAGAATACCAACATGGTTTCATGAATGACAGGTCAACTGTCACCAACTTAGCTCAGTTGGACGTAGTTTACACATATTTTCAAATATCTTCAGGGCATACGTTATGCAACGTTGTATTAGCGCGGAAGGTGATCTAAAAAGCATGATTGATCCCGGAAGGTAATGTCCGAGCAATAAATTATAGATAAAAAGAACCGCATTCTATGGCGGCACGCGGCTTGTTTAGATTATCTCCAGTGGCGACGGGCTATTGCTGTTGATGAGGTGTAGGCTTAATTAAATTCCCAATATGGTGTGATTTTCAAAGTAGATGACATCTTTATTTGTGAAATTTTGAAAAGCAAAACATTTTTTTTAAATTTTAATATTGAAGGAGAAGCAGGTAATTTGTTTATTGCGGTATATTTGGTATTGAATAGACAAGTCGTAAGTGCTAGGCTACCGAAGCGTTAAAATATGATCTCTAAAGAGACCGATAACTTCTCAGTTCACTGTTATAATGAATAATAAGGAAGGAGGATATTCATGAGATTAATTACACCAAGACCACAGCTGTTCAATAAAAAAAAAACGTATCGTCGCTTCATTTGTAATACCGCGTAACTCAAAACTAACAACTTTTTTGCAGAGCAAAAAGAACGATGGGCCTTTGGATTCGCTATCGAATGACATGCATCTGGCTAAACTAAACATTGTTGTGATTCTAGTAAAGACATTATATTATTAATATTATTTAACAATATGCCATAATTTCATGTAACAACGTTTGTATCAGAGCCTAGAGCAGTTCGTCACTGCTTCGCTTCAGAGTTAGTTTCACTTTGCGCCATTTTCCTTATCAAGACATTCCTGATAGTGTTCAGCATTTCGTGGACTTCCTCCGAATAAATCTCATAAAAATTCGATAAAAACCAAGGAAAGCATTATACGGCTGGCTGCACTGTTACTCCATTCCAACAATTTATTTTAACGATAAATCTTCCGCTTATCCTTTTAAGATTTCCACTAGCGAAAAACTCGATACTCCCAACAAAAAGCGCTGCTTTGACTAATTATAAGTAAAAGGAATTTCATTGCTGTTACTTTATATACCCATTTTAATGGTGCAACAGAATGTTTACGCTCCTATACAGAGTGTTAGGGAAATAATATTCGTAACTTTAAGAAGTGATTCCTTGCATTATTCTAAGCAAAAAAGTTCATTATAACCTATGTCAACCGTTTCGGAGCAAAAAAATGCTGAACTTACTTCCCTTTAGTCACGAAATAAATTAATTTTGCACCTTAATAATTTAAATTAATATGCCTAATAGCCTAAAATGTATCAGTACATCTATTTATTAATTGTCTCTAACAGAATAATTTTCTTGCTTATTAAATACAATTTTCCGAAGAAAAACAGACTAAAAAATCCCTCACATAACTGGCAACGTCGTACTCCGCCTGCACTGCATGTATCATCACGTGTTGCGGTTACTAATACATTTAACTGTAACTTTATGTGATTTACGGATGTTTTTTTCTTTTTTCGTACATCGCATCAATCATGGAAATTGGTGGTGTGTATCGCCTCGTACCGGTCAGTTCTGTCATTTTTTTAAGTAAATGTACTGTACTGAAAGCGTTATTAAATTTAAAATATTAGCCACAAAAATTGCGTAAATGTATTCAAAAATTCAAGGCATATTTTTAACAAAAATGTCATACAAATGTAAACAATTCGATGAATCAGTTGCGGTCGTCGTGCGCTCGTATCGCGGCTGCGTTGCAGCGTTGCCAAATGATTGAGAAAATTTAATTACTTACGACTCACTTTCCTCGAAAAAGATTTATTTTCGGTCATAAGTTATGATGAACTTTTTTGCTTAGAATAATGCAAGGAATCACCTCTTAAAGTAACGAATATCATTTCCCTAGCACCCTGTATAAAGAAATGCCGATATAATATCTAGTATACATGAAATTGATAATGTCAGTCAAAAAAAATGCCAAAGGGAGTAGGGGCTTCCTTTGTTTAAATGGTAAAGATTTTTTACATGGCCTAACGTTAAAAGTCCTCGTAGTGACAAGGTAACATAGATTCGAACTTGGTAATATCAAAAACCTGATAAACCTGATTGTTGGGTTTTTTAAGAACTTCAATTCAAATTAACCTTGAGCTCACATTAAAATGATGTAAAAGGGAAAATGACATTGCTTTTGACTAGAAGTGGATGAGGATGAAACCACCATAGATAAACATCGAAAAGGCTCATGTTTTACTTGTCTTGCGTCTATCATAACCAAGCTACCATAGTAGTACTAAAATTTTCAACAGCTGCTTGGTTTACACCTCAACTAGCAAATAGTTTCATCTAACATTCAAACTCATCTACTCATCTAGCAGAACTACTTCGCATGTATATTACGTCAAGGGAAAACGAACTATGTCACATTTATACGACTTTCTTCGTTCCAGCTTACATCAGCATTGCAGTTATCACCACAGAGACCTGTGCTTGTTGCAAGAAAAATTCCTGGAACACATCTAACTGTCTGCCTCGTTATTTATGTCATAATTATCTCACTCCAGCACAAAACTTTGCACAACGACGCGCTAGAGAAAATTACAGTCGCTTTTCTCGCGAGAAAAATTGCGACGACTACAGACGAGAAAAAGCTTACTTTTCTTGCGCGTAACTACACCTGGTACAACAAGACGGTTGTGATTTTTGCTAGTATTTGCAATTACTGCACCTTTCTAATATACAAGAAAATCCTTAGGGCATAATACTTACTAGGTGGGTATTTACTTTCATGGTAGTTGTCGAACCTTGAAATTAGATATGTGAAAATAAACACAATGCTTTGAGAAAATGTAAATATCCTGAATCCTGGGCAAATTACTGAATTGTTACTTTATCCAGGTGACAATCAGAGCCGTCTTTAGGGTGGAGCGAGTGGAGCGGCCGCTCCAGGCCTCGCGCCAGCAAATAAGTATACTGTTTTTTTTAATGAAAATAATATATTGTCAGATATACGTGCCTAAAATATCAATCTGATTACTCTCGCAATATGTTAAATTATTGATTAATTACAAAACCCACGAACGAGATAATCGTGACCAAAAGAATGCAAAACATCGTTTGATAGTAGCTGCGGGGTAAGCGGCCTGTGGTTGTAATGTCGTCTTATGGAATTTTATGTTGATTATACTTTAGTGTATGACACAGACAAAACCCACGAACGAGATAATCGTGACCAAAAGAATGCAAAACATCGTTTGATAGTAGCTGCGGGGTAAGCGGCCTGTGGTTGTAATGTCGTCTTATGGAATTTTATGTTGATTATACTTTAGTGTATGACACAGACTTAAATCATGTCTAGAGAAAAAGATAAATTTAGGAAATTTCAAAGTAGAAGAAAAAAGACAAACGTGAACAGTTTTTAAAATCACAACAGGGTGCGCTAGTTAAATGTGTAAAACAAAATGGAGCTGAAGAGGGTTTGAATATCGTGGATAAGAAAACTGAAATAGATCTATCTATTTCAAGTACAAGTAATGATAAAGAAGTATGTGATTTTTTGCCGTCTGATAATCGTTTGGCACCTGATCCTTAAAACATTTCTATTTCTATTGAAGCTGAAGCGCTCGTTTTTGACATTATCGATCCAGGTGCTTGTGTACCAGTAAAACTAGTGGCAAAGCGTTTTGCTTTGGCTGTAAATTATTTGGTACACATTGGGTCTCAATCAGCTTGCGAAGGGTACAGTTATTGGGCACATCTTGGCAGAGGGCTTGAAACGCATGAGATGTCACAAAGCATGGTGAGAACGTTAGAAAGTGGACTGCATACCTGACATTAGTCACAAGGAGCAGTTCTGTGAAAATTGATATCAAGGCAAGTTTCCCCCAGAATGAAAATAAAGGTGTAAGCATCGAAGAATATTTCCTTGGTTTCTTAGACAGTAAAACATGAATGTCCTTCTACAAGTGTTAGACGAAATTGGATTAGAAATAATAATAATAATAATAATAAGTGGACTTTATTTCGTACCTAAGTAAAAGTACAAAAAAGGCGAAGTGTCGCTAAGATTAGCGTTTTTCAACTTAACCTTAACCTTAACAAAAAAAATATATACATATATATACAGGGTGACTTTGAAGTTGAGTCATTAATTTTCAGATAATGATTGTAGAAGGAAGATAAACCAAAATATGTGTGTAAAAATAAAAAAAAATAAAAAAATTTTTTTACCTTGTTTTATAAAGTATCCTCCCGACAAGTATTTCAGTGCGGACCTGTATTTGATCGTGAGGTCCCTTGTGAGGTCTGAAGTCACCTGATTCACGAGCCCGTTGTACTACTATTAACAAAGGCACGAGGGGTTGGTTGCACTCGATTGGGAAACCGATCCGCATAAACATGTGCCATTTTTTATTTCGTTTGAGCCACGCAACAGACACTATTCACACGCGACTGACACTGATTGTATGTATAACTGAACTGAATAAAGTAAACATCGTTCCAAATTCTTTCGCTTTTTTGTTTCCGATGCGATGAACCGATAAGGTGGATTATATCCGTTGTTGCCAAACACGAGCACATGATGATATTGAGACAGGGCGGTACTCAAACTTCCAAAGGGCTATAACTTTGTTACTTTAATTTTACCAGGAAAATGGTAAAGGAAAAAAACATTTCTTTTGATCAGATCTACTCACTGTTAAAATAAATGACTCAACTTCGAAGTATATATATACCTGTATATATATAATAAAACATTCTACCAACAAAAATGTATCCATAATTCTCAATAATTACTAAATAATTAACAACACAGAACAATTACAAGAATAGTCCAAATCAAGGATTGTAAAGGACAAGGATATAGTAACGGATCCAACATGAAAGGTATCCACTCTGGAGTACAGGCACGGATTCTGGAAATAAATCCAAAGGCATTTTACATGTCCTGTACTAGTCACAACCTCAACCTCTTAATTTGTGATGCTGCAAAATGTCCCCCTAATGGCAAATGAAAAAAGTCACGTAAATAATTGTTTTTATATGAAATGAGTTCATCAGAGATGCTAAAAACACTTTCTTGCAGGAGAATTTTAAAAAATATTGAAAAAAGGCCTCAAGAAAATGTTTTGCCTCAGGCTTCGTAACTGCTAAGGACGGCTCTGGTGACAATATTGTGAACTTACATGTAGCTCTTGTGAAGATTTTTCCAGAATTCTAGACCTCGGCTCTTAAGGATTCGGAATTTTCACGAAGCTATAAAAGTTAAATTTAAGGGAAGTGTTATTTAAACAATATTTCCTCAGAAAGAGAAATAAGTACATTTTTGAAAAACCAATGAACCCGAGTGCAGTAACCGATGTCATGAGGCGTCTGTAGATACCTGTTATATCAAAATCCTTCAAGCGGTTCAAGCTGCAACCCGTATAACAAAAATTAAAATGTTCAAATTTCTGAAAACAAAATTTGCATTTTGAATTTGAAAATTTTTAGTATGCCCACCCTGTATGTCAAAATACATCAAGCCGTTTGTGGTATAGCGTGAAACAGGAATTTCAAGGTCGAATTTTTTATTAAAATTTAATGTACCTATTGTCAAATATCAAAAGCTAAAAGAAGATATATGTTGCACAAAAGCTTACTATATACACAAAGTACAATTATTAAAATTAAGAACAAAAACGAGAGTTATGTGTTTAAACTATTAATCCAAGCTTATTTGATAAACAGCTTTCTTGAAGCAATTTATGGACATGTTTTTAAGTTCAGAACTCAAAACATTGTTTAACACTGCAGCACTGTACGTAAAAGAAGCTGAAATAAAACTGTAGAGTGAATAAGTATAGCTATCATATTTGGAAATCAAATATACCTATCGTGTATTATGCCTAAAGCTTATGTATTAGTTTATAATGATATTTGACAGTATTCTTCGTTTTCATCCAGTTTAATTTTATAAAACTACCAGAAACATGGCCAAAACACCTTAATCCGCAGTTGAACCTAGCACAATTATGTTGCACAATATAGTGATCTCAGTCTCGAATAGGTTTTCTTTATGAGGTTTTTGACACGACTGGTGAATCTAAGCTTGAAATCTATTATTGTGCCAAGAATGTTAAGCACTTTTAGCTTTTCTCTTTCACGATCTGAACAAAAAAAAAATAATGGCTGGATTGACTATAATTTATTGAGAGGTTGTGACTATTTGAAAATTCATACACTTTTGAATATAATGGTTTACTGATGCCTGCGTAAATCCAAATTAAAATTGTGACTAAAGTCCATTTGCAAATGGTCGATGATAGTACGAGTCTGAACATCCTGTAACGTGAAGCCCTCGCCCTGTAATGCAAAATGATGGCTAGTATAAATCAGGTAGCATGCACCTCTAACTGAATATCGTCAATATCAACAGAAAGCAAGTGCTTATCCAACAAGCTCATGCACATTTTGTGCATCATTCTATGTTGATTTATGTATCTCAACCTGTAAAATGCGAAGTGAAATCCATCCCTTCGTTGACGTAGAAATTTAGTATTTTCATAACAGTGATGTTTTCCTATGTAAATCAACACACATATGCATCACATGTATAACAAGTTCTATAATCGCCAGGAGCGAAGCCAATAGTGGGAGGGAAATCGATCACTGCGCATGTCATAAATAAAAAGGGATACATTGTCATCCTAATGGGGGATACAGGGTGTAACCAGATTGAATGTCAACATTTAAGGGGATGATTTTTGGAGTCACAGGCTGGTAAAGAAAACTATCATCGTATTTGTGATGTTCGCACCTGATTCACCCAAGACATAGGCTCTGGGGGAGAAAACTTTGAGATCTTAGGTTGGGAAATTTCTGTTTTTGCTCGCGTGGTTACAAAATGACGGGACTTTTACTCTGTGGTAACCTGAATGCTGTCTTCGATAATGCCCATCAAAAAATGTCAAAGTAAAAAATGGAACTTTCGGAGTCTTCCACGATTTCTTATGCACTCATTGACACGCCTGGGCATCGTGCTGATAAGGTGGTCGATATCCTGTTGGGGCATCTCATTCGAGGCTTCTGCAACTTACTGAGTAAGAGCTGCTAAAGTCTATGGAGGGTGTTACAAATTCAAGAGCCTGCGACCTATCACGTCCCAGACATGTTCAATTGGAGATGAGTCAGGCGATCGTGGTGGCCAAGATGAAATTAGTGATGATCTGTTACCATAAGCAATAGCACCCCATACCTTAACTCCCATGGTGTGGTGAACGTGATGCTCTCTGTCAAATTGTGCGTCACGTCTTTCACCACGACGCCTTCTCACTCTTGCCGGACCATCGTGCATCCCCAGAAAGAAGCGGGATTCGTCACTAAAGACCACCTGATTCCATTCCTGGTCCCATAGAGTTCTTTCTCTACGCCAGAGCAAAGGGTTACGCCGATATTCAGCTGTGAGAGGTAGCACACTGCAGTATACTGAGTAAGGATCTGTTGGTCCTCCTAGAAACTTCTCTTATCGATAGACCGGCTTCACGCAACCCGACAATTCGACCCCCACAAAGTCACTTAGCTGGAACACATTCTACTCGCTCTAGCCATTTTGAGCAATCACAAAAAGGCTTCTCAATAAGCTACACGAAATTTAGCATTTAACTGATACCGTAAATGTACGATAATTGTATCATCAAACAATACACGCGGCCACCACAAAAATTTGACAGAAAAACCTGACCATGTTATCACTTGTTGTTCATGGCAAGATAAATCGGTATGTGAAAAATTCTTGAATTCTAATATACATACGTAAATGTTCACCGTTTTTGTCTCTCAGTATATATCAAGATAATGCACATTGAGGCCTAATCGTGAAACTTGGACAAACATTACAGTTCTGGCAAGTTTTTTTGAGATTTACCTAAAACAACATATAGCTTTAGATATACCGAGTGTTTCAAATTCGAGACACACCATTGGGATCTCTGCAGGCACATCGCGCAGCGGCATCATGGAAGAGAGGTCTGAGGAGCAAAGCCCGTTGGTGTAGCGGTAGAAAAGAACTAGATCGCCGTCGGCCCGCTGGTGCGAAAGAGTCCCGAGACTGTCAGGGCAGCAACGAGCATGGATAATGTAGTCGGGACTGCAGCACCCCAAACGTGTGAGCAATACTCGAGGCTAGGCCTTATCTGGGCCTTGCATAGAGTGAGAAGGTCATGCGGAGGGAAGTACTTCGTAGCCCTAAACAAATAGCCTAGCTTTTTCCCAGCAGCTGCAGCTATTGACGAGATGTGTTCGTGTCAGATCAGGTCCTCGGTGTTCTGGACTCCGACCAGCCGAAATGAATGACTCGGCCATCCAACGAAACCGGGTGAACGCTAGGACGCTCTTTGTTCGTCAAAGTACAGTACTGTGTTTTGGAACCATTGAACTGAACAAGAATGTTGCGTCCCCAAGCAGTGATATCCTCCAGGTCTCTTGTCAGAGAGGAAGTCGTCGCTAGTCTTCTTTTTTCCAGCTCAGCGGCAGAGATCGGCTTGTCACTCTGAATTCCTGCATATAGAGTGCTGTCATCAGCGAAGCTGTGGATAGGGTTGATCATGCGTTGACGTTGTGGGATGAAGAGGAGAACCCGTCAATTACGACGGATATCTTGCGGCCAGATAAATCGATTTTTCCTAAATCCGTTTTTATTTTTGCCTGAAGTTATGATTGCACTTTTTCTACTCTACAACATGGCGTTATTATAATTTTAATATTCATTCATGCAAAAGTCTAATATGGTACCTTTGAGAAAAAAATAATGTTAAGGAT